GTATTAGGCTTTATAAAAATTAGATATTACTATTTAAACTATTCTTTATACTAATTTATATAATTAATATGTTTAAGCAAAAACCTATATAAAGAGAAAAAAAAGAAGCTTTTTTAACAATCAGCGCTATAGAAAGATCAAAAATTTGTACTATTAGGCTTAAAGTATTATTTGTCTAGATCACCATATTTGAGACACATAATCTATATATCTATTTTTATATATATCTACATGTTTGTTGTAATAGGTAAAAATATAAATAATATTATCTGATTTGGTAAATAAACAATATATCAATCTTTTAAAAGGAGTAAACTAAATTATTTATTTTTTACAAAATTTTCTTTAAAGAAAAAGTAGAGGCCAATGAAAATGTGTGAGGTTCTTCTCTAAGTTTTACAGTTATATAGTTAAATCATCAAGATTATACTATTTCAATAAGAGACATTTCACTACTTGCTTCTAAAATAAACTTTCTAGTTTGGATACCAAATATCCTGAGGAGTTTACTGTTTAGCCAAATTTAACCTCAAAAAAACTATTTAAGTTATATCTACTCCTTGATGTTTTATATCTTTTAAGTTTTGTTAATAGCAATCTGTTCAGAGATAAGTTTATTTTTTAGAATAAACCTTCTAGTTTAAATACCAAATATCTTGAGAAGTTTACTATAAGCAAAAAGCTTAATCCTAAAAAAAATCTCTAAGTTATGCTTGCTTTTCAGTGTTTTATGTTTTTAGGCTTTATTAACAACTATTTACTTAAAGACGGAACTAAAAATAATATTTATCTTGGAACTTTCTATAGTATTTTTCTGTAGTTCAGTTTTTTGTTATATTGTTCAAAAGATTATTGAAAAGAGTTGATAATTAATTATTACTTAAAAAATATTTATAAATTGTTTAAAAATAAATTATTTAATACTAAATATAAATTAAATAAAATAAATTTTAAAAGCTTCTGTGAATTATTATAAACTAAAATAAAAAATGTATTAAATAGATTTATTAAATAAATAAAAGTTTAAGTTTATTTATCTTTAAATATTTGTTAATTAAATAAAAAAATAAATCTATATTTGTTTATACTTTTTTTAAATATATTTTAATAAATTTTTTAAAAACTCTACCTTACAAAAAATCTAAAGAATTTGTCTAATAAATGTTTAATTTCAAAAATAATTCATTTACTTTTTCCAATGATTCTCTGATTAACAAATTCAAAAAATAAACTACAGAAAAATCTATAGAAGATGCTAAAGTATATAATAAACTTAATTTTATGAAAGTAGATATATTATTAACAAAATACCAAGAGTATAAAATTAAGAAGCAGACTACTTTGGACTGTTTTTATAAAGGTTAAACTTTGGTCAGTAGACTTCTCTATTATATTTGGTATCTAATTCAGAAGAATATTTTGGAAATATAGAATATCTAAAATAATACCAGAAATATTACAAACTTTGGATTATCTCTATACAACTATAAAATTTACAAAAAACAACTACAAAAAAGTTTTGTTGGCCTATCATTTTTTTTGAGAAAATTTTGTCAAAAAGTGAATATCTTAGTTTATTCCTCCTAATGATCAATATATAAATTATCAAAATAATTAATATTGTTAATTATCTAAAATGAGAGATTATCACTTTGATTGTTTATTTTTATATAGACTTGATAATCTACATGGTTAGAATATTTTATACTACAAGTTGGAGTTAATATATTTCTATGATATCATACTAGTCATATATCTCAAATGCCAAAGATCTGTTAAATAATACTTCAAAACTACTATTAGCTACTCTGTCTAGTTTTCTAGTTTAATTTAGAGTTTTCTTTTTCTTTAATAGATTTTGCTATAGATATATATATTATTAGAATAGAATTAGATATAAAGCTATAATATATAATTTTTTAAAACCTAACACAGACTTATAATTGTGATCTATCAGATTCTTTTTTCTTTTTTTCCTATCTTTTATCTCTGTTTTATTTTTTTTAGTATTAATTTTCATTTTTTTTCATTTTTTTTTAGTATTAGTATTAATATTAATATTTTTTTTGATTTTTTTACTTCTTTACAAAAAGATATTATTAGATTGGTGATATTTTATTGTAGGATAGTGGTCTAATAGTATTTTTCTGAGATAGATGAGTTTTTTTTTAAAACCTATCAGAATATATTCAAATAGATATATCTGCTCAGTGCAACTAATCATTTATAAATACTTATAAAAGTAATTGCAAATTATCAAATCTTATATTATGATCCTTTCGAGGATATTTGATTGACCAATCAAATATTATCTAATAAAGAATATTGGTGAGATGGCCAAAATAGAAAAAAAATAAAAAAATAAATATTTAATTATATTTAAACTATTAGAACTATTAAAATAAAATAAAGTTTGAAATATTTGTAAATTTTGATAAATCAAAACTAGAGTTCCGCAATTCGATTTGATTCGATTTAATTCGATCAAATATTCAAATCAAATCAAATTTAAATTATAGATTTATTCAATTCGATTAAATTCAAATTGACAAAATATCCGATTTAATTTGACAAATATTTAAATATTTAAATTGATTTGAAGTGAAACTATAGATTCAATAGCTATTTACACAAAATTTTATTATTATAATTGCTATTTTCATTCTAACTGACTAGGGGTATTTTGATTAGAAGAACATTTTTTATTTAATATGCAAAATCGATTAATTTAGTAAAATTTTTCGTAAATTAAGATTTTGAAAAGTGATAAAATTTTTAAATTTTTAATAATATTCAAATATTATTTGATTTGATTTGATTTGATTTGATCAAATCAAATTCAAATTAAGGATTTATTCGATTTGATTAATATTCGATTTGATTTGATTCGACTTTGAGAAACCCTAATCAAAACTAATAAAATTTTTTCTAATATATAAATTTGTTAAATTTTATATATAGGGATACCCACAGCAAAAGAGGGATGGAACTATATATTATATAGTCTCATCCCCTCCTTTTACAATGGGCATTTCCATATAAAGTATTGTGATGTATCAATAATAGCTTAAAAGAATTATTTAACTTCTATGATATAAAAATTTATTTTAATATAAATACTTAATTACAAAAATCATATATAGTCAGACTTCTCTATAGTCACCTCCTCTATAGTCACATTTGTTTATAATCACATAAAATTTTAAAACCAACTTATATAGTATTTATAAAATTTAACCTCTATATAAGCACAAACTCTCTATAAGCACCAAATTCTTAAAACCAAGGGTGTGATTATAGAGAGGTTTGACTATATTTAACTTTTTAGTTTAAATGATAGATTGCAAAAATTTTTTTAAAATACTGTATATTACAAGATATTTAACAAAGTACTAGAAATTTTGAGGTTAATAACCAATTAGAGAATGATAATACTTTCAGAAAAAAACTATAAAATACTTAATAGTTTTCTTATTTAGTGAAATAAAAATAACCACTGGTTTAATATAAAAAACACATATTTTTTTTTATTGCTATTTTTAATTGTAATCTAAATAATTGTAACCAATTATTTGTCAACTATTAAAAAAAAATATATATACGCGTTAGGTAACTCGATTATATTAACGAGGGGTCCGTATTGATTCACCGACAGCTCATTTAGACGACATCACGCCAGGTGAAATTTAGTAAAAATATATACCTGCAACCAATGAAATGCTTAACCCTAACCCTATGTGATGTCGGCTAAATGATCGTTCGGTGAAATGATTGTCGGTGAATCGAAGGAATCCCATTAACGAGGGGGAATGTTAAAGCCGTTAGGATTATTTTTTGGGTTATAGGTTTATATAGATATATCAAGAATACAATTTATGCAATATGTAGATCACAATGAGTATACCTGGCTTTAACAGATCTTTTTACGAGCCAAATTTAGTTGGTTGTTAAAAGATAAATAAAATTCTAGAGTTATTACTATGAAAAGATATCTTTTAATTAATGTCTTACTTTTATAGAATTAAAAATATCAAGTATTATCAAGTATTATCAAGTATTACGAGAGGAATTAAAGGCGGAGTAAAGTCTTTTTTTTTTTATAATCGTTTAATACAGAATGCAGATCTGAAAATCAACCGATGTGATACACCCCATTAGATTATGCAGATACTACGTATTAAATTTATGATATGCGTCATTTAATCATTATAACGTTGTAGAGCTTATTTGGACTACAATATTTCGAATTTTTTTTTTTTTTTTTTGCGATTGAGCCCGTAGCAAGATCCTCAGCAATTGGAAGTCTAAATAGCTACGTAGCACCATACCATTTCCATTAATCTAAGATTATTGCTTTAAATCGTATAGTAAACTAAACTAATTACGTTGGACTGGACTGATTGGTCCAATAAATTTGGTCCAGTCCAAGTCCAATACAAAATTAAATATTGGACCAGTCCGATAACACCCGAGTACAACATATTTATCCACTTGGATTATTCTAATAAGGTTTAACGATATGAATTGGATGCGTAAGCCAGTGTTGAAATCTTAAATTGGCCAATATTAAATAAAACATAAAATTAATTGGTCGGATAAATACAATCATTATTTAAAACACAAAGGTAAAGAAAAAACGATTCAATCCAAAATACCATTTAGCATTGCATATAGTACTTGGTCTTATTTAAAGTTTTTACCTTTAAAATTATTAGAGTTAGGTTAGTAAGATGGCGAATAATGCCTGTCTCAATCATGGAGGATATTTTACGGAGATGCTTTATGCAATGCTAAACAATAATAATGAATGGCAAAACGTAATAGAAGGAATTTTGATCTATCAAATGTAATAAATCTATATCGATGTTTATTGTCTACAAATAATGCATCAATTCAAACAGGAACATTTCTGTACAGTTTTTTAAAACAAATAAATGTCAAGTGGTATGAGCTTAAGTGATGCCATGCCCTCTTAATCACTTTACAGTAACGAAACAATATCAACACTTCTTGCTAATGACTTTATCTACTAATCCTAAGCATTTTGTGACACATGCACTATCGATCAGTTTGAATTCCAAGATATTGAGTAAATGAAAAGCAAATTCATTTCTCAACTCTAGTTCAGCAATTTGACGGGCGCGTGTCTTGGCAAATTGTAGACATACGTCAGGGAGATTACGATCGGCGAGTCCCCTATGTTCAAAATACGCTTATTTAGAAAAAATTGACCTTAATGATAGACATAGCACACAACATACAATACGACACATTACCTTTGTGGTTCTATATATCTATTCCAGATTTTCATCATTTGTTTTTCTTTATCGCTCGCATCAGAAAGTTCATCCAAAGTCTAATATACAGTATCAATGTGAGTATTATGGAATTTAATGTCACAAGTCGAAAAGAGATAATCTTGATTGAATATTATCCTAACCTCATCATTGAGCTGTTCTAACCAATGTGTGCAAGTTTCATCCTCGGAGTCGACATCACCCTCTTGGAATGGCATGAACGAATGAGAATGATAAAAATTATTGGTAGGTAATAACGCAAGTGGAAGTTGCGAAGTAGATTGATGTCTTTTGATCGGATATATGAACGGCCTTACAGTCCAACTACCGTCCTTCTTATCAATTATGAAATAATCAAATTCTGAAAAATCCTCGTTTGAACTCACGATTATAATACGATCGCTCGGTAATTGTCTGCCAATCTTCAATGGTAAATTATTGAATATCAATATAAGACCTTTTAGTAATTAAAATCAGATTGTAATAGTCTACCTTTGTTCCGAATTTTAGGTGAATATGGTTACAACGAAGATGAATCATCATGCTCCCACTATCCTTAAATCGAAGATGAGAACACCATGGACATCGAAATCCTTTAACAACTTGAGTCAACGAACAATCAGCCACACGGTATATATAGGTTACCGGTAATTCGTCATGATGAAAATTAGAGATTGACAATGGGCTGGTCTCTATAGGTCTCAATGGAAGATGTACTTTACAATCCCAATAAAGAGTGAAACGTATCTTCCAATTAGAAGGTATTATGGAATCTTGTTCACGCACTAGTCCCAGATTTACATCATATTGTCCATCCTTGATAAACTTTCCATTTTCAATTACTTCCAATTGATTACACAGAGTTCGACGCGTACAGTCACCAAGGTTGTATGCGAGATTCAGTTTTCCGTGCTCATTACTTATTGGAATTTGAGACGATGACAAAGTTGTATTTGGAGGCCACGTCTGGCTATTGATGGAATAAACGCGAAAATTGAGGACCAAGTCTTGAACAGGTTCTCCTGCATCATCAAAGCTAGTAACGTAAGGTTGAAGCGATTTAAGATCCTTAACATAACAGCCACCCTCGCCATGAATCATCTGAATTAAGGTGCGGAAGATTTGCCTATATTCACACGATTCCCATTTCCCGTTGCTTAACCTGCGTTTCTTTGAATGGTCCTTATTGACACAATATTATGAAATTATTAATTGACGGATTCATATTAAGAATAATTGTCAATTTTTTTTTTACCCGAATAAATTAATTACCCTTTTAATTTTATATAGAGTAATTTCACATTCCAATTGGAGATAAGGTTCTACTTCTGACACTTGGTTGGCTAATACGAGAAATATTACGATATTATTGATTACCTATTGAATATTTCAAAAGAATTCTAATGTTTTTTCTCCACCAAAAAAAGAATCCTCAATTAAGGCTACACTTACTATGAACGACTAATCCTTCAAAAGTAAGTTGAAGTGCACGTTTAATTCGGCTATAAAAATCCAGTTAGATTAAATTCAACTAATGAAAACGGTTTATAAAATGATATATTCACCTAGTAGAAAGAAATTGTTCTTCTTTTTCTCGACCTTCAAACAATTCATCAAGTGTAATTCCCTTTCTCTCTTGTATATGTTTGGACCTTTTGGTTGACAATTTTTTACTGGGCTTTTGTTGCAAATATGATAAATTCCTTCTAAGAAATCGTGGCTTCATGGTATAAAATTTGAATTTTTGGACAAGCAAACAAGTTTTAATTTAATAATTTCCAGGGTAACTATAAAAAAACAATAACGGGATTGGTTACTTACGGGTCTTCTATTATTGAGCCAATGGTACAGACAAGTTGGACCTAGAGAAATTAATTAAAAATTAAAAATAGTCTTAGTTTTTTCAAGATGTCAGAATAGAATTTTACCAGTAAAGGTATCACGAAACAAAGTGGAGACTCTATTTTGGTCCACAATATTCTTGATAGCTTTGTTCACCATTGTCGGAATGAGTAAAACTGAAATTCAAAAATCTGTTTTCATTGAAATATAAATAAGATTGAAACACAATGCATGCTCACGTGACAAATCGACCAGCATTAGGCAGAAATTGGTTAAATTAATCCCTTTAAGGTAACATTCAATAATATCTATTAATACAACTTATATACCTTTACTAAATAATTTTTACAAATCCCAGTATATATAATTTTTGTATTGACTTAACCGTAAAATAAAGTTCAGTTCTTTTTTTATATAAATAGACTTTTTTATTACAATGGTATTAAATAGCAAAAGATATACAGTATGTATAGCAAAAAATTTGGTATATTTTTGAAAATTATATTAATAATATACTGTATATATATCTTATACTTTTTTAGATAATGTATCTAAAAAATTTTATATTGTACTGTATTTCAATCTTTTTTTTTTTTTTTTTTAAAAAAAAATATACAGTATATATATATGCAATAAAATATTTGTGAGAAAAATTTAGATAAAAACAAAATTATTATAAAAAAATACATTGTGCTGAACACCACCGGTGATTCAAAATTTTTGGGTAAATATATATAATCATTATAATTATCCACATAAAAAGCCAAAATAAACTTAGTATTGTATCATCGATTGTTAAATTGTAATATATAATATAAAAAATAAAATCCTGAATATATGTGGATTTAAATCTATATTGATTTTTTACTGACTATTTTGATGCTTGATTGGAGATGAAAAATCATAAAAAGGTTAGCATTTTACCTTTTTTTTTATAAATAAAAACGTTGTTCAGAGCAAAGTGAAACGGACGGAGCGATGGGATCAAGGTCTTGACACGGATAAGATCATGATCAGGATCAAGAGTGAGGAAAGAATACTATATAAAACGTTTTCGAATTCGTGACACCTTTATTCCCTTCTATGGACACTTTTTCATCAAAACTGTATGCCTACTAAGAAAACAGTTCTTGATAGGTACGATTATGTATTTATATAGTATAGAATTGAAGTGTTAGCGGTGTTAAATAGCCAATAGTGTTAGAGTCAGTCTTGAGGTTGAATAATTAGAGGTCTGACTCGATAAATAGTATATTTTTCGAATATTCATTGAATATTCGAATATAATTGTTTTACTCAATAAATATTCGAATATATAAAAATTATTCAATGAATATATACTATTTTATTGACCAATTAAAATATAAAATAAAATATTAATATATATATATTATATAATTTCTTATTTTGATTAATTATTAATAATACTAAAAATAAATAAATAAAATAAAATTTTATTAATATATAGCTAAAAATAAATTATATAGTTTATTTATTTATTTATTTATTTTAATATAGCTTATAAATTTAAATTTAATATTTGAAATTAACACTTAATTTAATTTTATAATATTATATTATTTTAATTTATAATTTATTTTAAATTAATAATTTATTTTATAATTATTAATAATCGAATATTCATTCAAATTTTTGAATATTCGAATATTAAAAAGATTGAACAAATGAATATTCGAATACTTATTTTTTGACCGAGTAAGACCTCTAAGTAAAATTGCTTTCCCAACATTTTTTTATCAGCCCCAAGATAGGTTTAAAATCGTTTTCTTATTTTCATTTTTTCGCTTTGTGAAAACTACAATTTGATTGGTTAACCGATTTTATTTGATTTTGGGATAAACGGTTACACAAAATTTGCTCTTAAGTGAGAAAGTAATAAAACGAAGCACCTATTACAACTAACAAAAAAAATCTTTTTTAGTATCTAGACAAGATATAAAAATCAATAAAAATCAATAAAACATCTACACTAAGCTGTAGAAAGAAGTATTTTTTACCATTTGTTGAAATACTCGGGTGTTTTGGGATGAGAACGATGGGTTTTTATGATGGGTTGGTAATTGTCGAGGGTAAATTCGGAAGCAAAGTTTCAAAAAATTGGTCTTTTTAACTTACCTTCGGCTTATAATTAAATACATAAATATCATAATTTCCTATATCGATATATTTATTAATTATAAACACAAAGTTAAAAAGGCCACTCTTATGAAATAAATTTTAGATACGTATACGTCGTATACGTATAAAATTTTTTGATAATCCTCAATCATGATTGGCTGATTTTGGGGTCGAAACAAATCGGCGGGAACAAGTCTTTTTTTAACGTTAACAATTTGATTGGTCGATTTGTCACATGAGCGTGAAGTTCCTCTTAGCATCTAATTTTTATATCATTACATCAAAAGAGGCATATTTAGCATTATGAGAAACTGTTTCCAAATTTTATTTCTATTCACCCTTTTGTTTCTAACAATTAATGAAATTCTTGCCGAGTCCCAAGAACTTGATAAATTCAAGGAAGCACTCACGATAAAGCCACTATCTGACGGAAAACTATTAACTCATTTTCAGTTCAATGTTAAACATTATGGGTATAGGGAGGGTGTAGCTTGTATGTAAAGAAAATTTTCCATGAGCTGTAATAACTAGGAAAGAAATAATAATATTTATCAATTAATATAGTTAGTCATTACAAATTTTTTCCTCGTGCAATTGGCCAAATTCTCCAAACTTATAATGTTCGAGAATTACATTTAACATTTACCCAAGGTCGCTGGAATTATGAAGATTGGGGATATCCTTTTGTGCCATCTGCTGGAACTGGTGTTGAATTATGGGCTTGGTTATGGAAAGATGGAAAGTGCGTGGGTAATTATTATTTTTTGTAAAGCATTGATTTTTTATCTTCTTTATTAAACTTATCCTTTTTATTTTTTACTATTCTCATTTATTAATGACAGGTTGGATAAAAATTGGAAATCATTGACAAATGCCCTTGCTGGTCTCTTTTGTGCTTCCTTAAATTTTATTGATGATACGATTACAGTTCAGCCTAAATTGTCGTTTCGACCGGAAGGACCATTTAATGGTGAATGATTTTTATCGTGGGACTACGATTGGAATCTGCACTCTAATTGTTAATATTGTTATAAATCTTAATGTAGCAACTGAATTAACTGGGAGGGCCGAGTTGAGATA